CTACTGTGCCAGGGACGTGAATGGGTGCCAACCTGTGCGTTTGTTCTGGATCCCATCACATGTTGGCGATGACATCCCTGACTTTCTTATTTCTCCAGCCTTTGCAGCTCAACATGGCACAACAGTACAAAACATTTTGTGTAATCGCAAGGCTGACCTTGCAGCCAAGCAGATTGCAGCCGCCTCTCTTCCTGTAGAGGTTCAAATGTTTTCCCAGATGCAACATGCTATTTTTGCAAGGCAATATTTCTTGGCTCAACTAAACGAACTTTCTACTCCCGAGGTTTCCACTACGGTGGTTGTTGATGAGATCCCCGTGTGTGCGGACAATACTTGCCTCCAACGGAAGTTTGGCCGTTGGGACTGGAAACAGAATATTGCTGACTTTCCATGGCGTTTTGAGCATGTCTTAGACACTTCAGGCCCGTGGTTCTCCCAGCATTCTCCTACAGACATCGCAACTTTTCTTCGCTTTGCTCGAGCTTTGGCATGGAAGGTTGGTGAAGCTTTTTGCACTTCCTACATGGAACTTGCATTTTTATTTCAGAAGCGTGGATACAATCTTGAAGCTTGTTGTGGCGACAATATCACTTTTCGGGATCTTTCCTTTTGGTTGCGCAGGATGTTTGTTTACATTGGCAAAATTCCTGACCACCAGGTTTTTCCCGGCTATACTTGTCTGCAGACCAGGAAATCGGAGGGGCGTTCTTTCCCCCAGGGTGCGATTGTTGGTTCTGTCCCTTACTTTACTTTCGATGAACTCAATGGACTGGCGCAGATGATGGACGCTGGCTGTTCGAAGTTGCTCTCCTCTTGGGAGATTCCGTTGACTGGATCAGGATGATTTCTTGTGTGGTAGTGGTTCGGTTTGGTTCTTCTTTTCACTGTACAAATTCCGCTGTGAGATCATGAGTGTCCGCAGTGATGCGCGTCTTGTCCTAACAGGGGACTCATTCAGGACGGACCGCAATGGGAGGTGATGAAGAGGCTTTAGAATCCCAAATGGAGGGTTTTTCTATTAATCAACCGCCTACATTGATTGCAGTGACGAGTTGTTGAAGATTTCCAAAGTCGCCAGGTTGATGTCACTTGCAGATTCGTTTTTGGTATCAGGGAGGCGAATCCAGAATCAACCTGATCTTCTTGAAAGCTTCTTGGCGCTTTCACATACACATCAGGTGTGAATGGCTCCACGGACATGCAAAAGACACATGAAACTCGGACCACTCATGTAGAGAAACACCATAGACATCAATAGACCACATAGACACCATAGACACCATAGACTGTTCCCGTTGTTTCGTTTCGTTTCGGTCCTTTTCTTTCTTCCAGTCTCACCATGTCGTCAACCGACATGAACGCTTCACACGTCCTCCGTTTCGCGACCGACGAGTCGTGGGGGCTCCGTGGGTCCGAAGAGACGACGGTCGACAGGATTGCTGGCCTTGGCGCGGCTCTTGTCTCTGGAGACGGCAGAGGAGGTCGCCCAGTGTCTTGACAGGCTGTCGTCGTTTTTGTGACCGGCGTAGCGCGGCGACGGCGTAGCGCGGCGACCCATTGGGGCAAGGTGATGGGTACAAGGGTACGGGTCTGTCCGATATAGCTGTAGGATCTGGTGCTTTACTAGCCAAGTAACCAAGTTATCACGTACAACCTGGTGCTTTACAAGACCAAGATATGTTGGGTCTGTCCTAGTACCTGTAATCAGTCGGGAAACAAGCAAATCACGATTTTTGGACCAGTCCTGCAACCTAACCATTCTCATCCACGGTTACAGGTGGGATAGACCCAAGGTACAACCAATATAGGTTTATGGTACCAAGGGGTTTCGTGGCACCGACCCAATTGTCAAATGCACATGAGCGAGGCAACAGCTGTTGCCTAATTTGCACAACTCAATTGTTGACCAGGTGGTCTTCCATCGCCTCATTTTCCACTGGAAGTCCAAAGACTATACTTTCCCTCAGTCTTCAGCATTACGACATTCCCTTTCAGATCCCATAAAGACCATTCAAAATGTATAGTCTTTGACTCGGGTTTCAGTTGAAAGTGTTCCTGCGTCAGTTCTTTCCAACTCCTCTCTAGTGGGCTCCCGACTCCCCCCGAAAGAACGGGGTGGAGATGCCGCTCTTCGGTACCAAACCACACTCCACCCGAAACCTGCCAGGTCACCACCTGCCACTTCAACGAGTCTCCATTTCAGCTACCCAAAAAAACAAAACCGGTTTTGTTTCATCGATTTCCTGGTGTGCCTCAGAGGGCGCTGGGGCGCGCTCTGCGCAGCACCGCCCTCTGCAGCACCGGCCGAGGCTGGAGGATGAGATCTTCTGGATGGACCTGCCAGGCACCGTGGGCCGAAGCACGTGAGCCGAGCGCCGCGCACGGTTGGACGACGTGAGGATTCCCTCAACGCCACGCGGGATTACGCGGTTGGATTTCACGGTGAACCGTCCCGAATTGGACATGAGAAGTTTTGGAGCTGACGTATAATTTTATATAGTGAGTGATAGTGTATTGAAAAAATGGGTGAAGCTCTTCCATGAAAGGCCCAGCGTTTCCTCGTGACGCCGAACAATGGACCACGCCAGTTAAAGGTGGAAACCATGGGCCTTTCATCTGCTCAATCAGATCTTCCGCTAGACCTTCCAACTATATCCTCAGAAGGTGGTTAGACCCCCCAAACTTACCTCAACCACCTTCGAAACGGTGGTGGTTGGAGCCCTAGGATTCCATCCACACTCCTAACCGTCCGACCTCACACGCTCGTTCCGCTTCGACCCACCACGGTTCTTCACTGCCACGGCGGAGGAGCAGTTCATCCGAACACGGAGATCCCCGAACGAAACCTTCGCGGTGCTTGTCCCAACCGCGGTGGATGAGATGGAATGAAAGAACGCCCAGCTTCCTGCGCAGCAGGACACCATACATACCTGGATGAGGTCCGGTTTCTCAATGGTGGGAACGCCTAGGGTACTGTTCTTGTGTATTCTGCCGGACACAGTGTACTGCCATCTCGGAACAAACAGAACTGTCTCTGGTTGGGACTGGGTTCCGGTGACCACACCCTGAGTCTTCATCGCTTCCATGTGGCGTCTTTGGATCTTTTTTTCATGGTCCTTGTTCACTGCCACGGACCCGTGACAAAAATCACGATTCTGCTCGTGTCAAGCAAGGAGTGAACCCTTGTTTTTTTCCGGGTGCGACGCACTTGGTGGGGACATTCTGGGAGGTGTCGCCCTCCTCGCCAGTAGATGGAGTCTTTTTTGGGAGTCTTCGGGAGGCGGTTCTCCCCCATGACCCCTTGAGTTCAGGGGTTAAGGCGCCCAAGCACTGGCACACTGAAGACTGTGGACCACAGTGATAGAGGTACTCCATCACCCACACGCCGTGAAGCAACGCGTTCGGGTTCGTCGGAGGTGGCAGCGCTCCGGACTTGCCGCTCCAAGTGGAGAAGCGTGCCTGGCAGAGGGTCCTCGAGTGGCTGCAGGAGGTGTGACCTTGGACGTCGGCTTCAGCCAGGGTTTCCCCAAAACACGGGGGTGTTTTAGACACGACCCACGGGACTGCCATAGAAAGGCCTATCACTTGGGATGGTTTACCTGGAGGTTTTTGGGGACTGTGGGGCGTACAGGCGGAGAGCTTGGTTGACCTACCGACGTCCGGAAGACTCGCTACATGAAGCCGCGAGCCTTGGGGAAGGCTCTTTCGCCATGACCCGTCCCCAGTAGGTGGAGATGCTTCGAAGAGATACAACGTGGACAACGAATGAAACTCCCATTTGAAGAGGTTTTTTCAATCCATGTTTGGGGGGGGTTATATATTCACATCAAGAGTCTACGGTATGTTTGGGGGTTTTCCTGGTGTCTGCCCACCGATACCGGTGAGATCCAGTGGAGCATAGCTGCATAGCTTTCTGGTGGCATGAAGCCTGCACTTGTGCGGGGCTGTGTCATTTCAAGCAGTTGATCTAGAAGTTTCCGGTCTGTAGATGTTCTCCATAAGAGTGTGTTATTTAAGAATCAGTCAGCCTGATGCTCAGGCATACAGATCACCAACACATCATGGCTTCATGACTAGAAGCCACTCCCAAGGGTCACCTGCCAGAAGCGACTCCCAGTAAACCATCGTTTTGGAGAATCCACGTGCAGTCCTAAAAGAGTCTTTCAACTCGAGGGAACGGCCAAGCAACCTAGGCGCCCTGAGGAGCAGTGAAGTTGGTGACCCTTCGTGGAAGATGTGTGAGAATCCAAAGGACTTTTCAGGTGAGACACCGGTTCCCCCGCCTTCCTCGGTTGGCCTTGTGGGGCGGTGTTCACAGATTGGCTTGGAGAGCCACTCATCGCTAAAGGTGTGTTATTTTTTGTGAAAGGTTTTTTGCGACCAGGGTTTTCCCACCCCTTCTCTCCAGTGGTGGCTCACACTCTGCGTGGGGGAAGCAAAGAAGCAAAATTCTAAGCTGCTCTTGGGAGCTTTGTTGGCCCAAACCATACACCACACAGCATGATATGATCCCGATCGCCTTCCAGGAAGAGCATTGAAAAAAGGGAACGACCTGGTGACCTGTAGTGTGAAATCCTTAGTAGAACAATGGTGGTGGGGTAAAGGCGCCATTGAATCAATGGTGCTTGGAAGCCTCGGGCGATTCTTACCAATCATAGACTCGTGGGAAACAACCCAACAGATTGTGATCCAAAGGCCACCTGAAGATTTACTTGCCGATGTGATGTGTGCAATCACCTTGCAGGAAGCAGGCATTCCCTGGGAACAACAAGCCATCCCAAAGGGGAAACCACCAAAGGTACCTCACCACACCCTGCTTTGCACGCATTTGCCTCGCCACCCCGCACTGCGATTTCCACAAAGAAGGCCTTCCAAGGGGAACTTTGCCTTACAAAGACGAGATCAAAGACGAGATTGGTCTCAGGATATCATCATGTACAACAGCCAGCTTGTGCTATTGAAGCCTGGAATTCCCTTTCAGCATCCTGCAACTTGGGCAACTAACATGTTTGGCCTCACCTGATCTGCTGGCCACGCCCGCCATGGAGCCCGACCGGACCATGCGCCTGGAAACCTTGGCGCTCCGCGCGCGGCGGCTGCGGGCCTTGCTGGGACGTGATGGAGGGCCGCAGGTGGCGGCCGAGCCGGCGGAGCCGGCGGAGCCGGTGGCGGAAGTCACCCGGGTGGGACTGTGCCTTTGGTGTTGCCCACTGCTGGGAGTGTGCTGGTCTGGTGTGGCTGGTGAGGTGGGGTGAAAAGATGAGTCTTTGTGGGAAAATCTGGGAGAGCGGAGGGTGCTTGCTATTTTGGAAGAAAGCGAGTGCAGCTCTCACGAACTTCTTTGGAAGCTCTTGCAGAGGTTGGAGGTGAATTGGCGTCCTTGGACTGCAGTCGACTGTCAGGCTATCCCTCTTGTCTGGTGTTCTGAAGGCTTCTTTAAGATCTGGCAGAGCAACATAGACCCCTACCTGGAGTCTCAAAGTACTTCAGAACTGGGTACAATTGACAAGTACCTGGTTTTTGGTTCGGCTCATGTCCCACTTCTCTAAGTTACTGGGTCAGTGCGGCTCCGTCGGTCTCTGCAACATGTCCACCCTCACCGGTGTTCGTTCCTTCGGTGCCTCTGCCGGCAAAACACATGGCCAGACCGGCCTGTTGATCTAACCCCAAGGGCTCCTGGCCCACCTCCGTTTTCCTTTCGGTCAGGTGGTTTTTTGGTCAGAGCCTGGGGGGTCATGTCCCACCCACCTGAGGAGATAGGGTAAGAAGGTCTAGGGTAAGAACATCAGTCAGAACATGCTGAAGCTGGCCGAAGTCTGACCTTAGTTCCCGTGGTGCGAAGTGCGTGCCGCTTCGCCTTTGACCGCTGCGTCTTTCTTCCAACAGCTGCCGGCCCTAAAACTCCGGGCCCGAACCAACATGGAACGTTTTTCCAACATTCCAAAATAGACACATCATCAAAAAGTTGATGATCGTGCCCACTCTTGACTTTGGAGAATCTAGCACCTTCGCCCCCCCGGTTGAACCGACGCCGCCCCAAGGTGTCGAGACGTGCCGCGGGCGTGTCCGTGTCCGTTGCGACCCCCTGTGGCGTGTCCGGAGCTGAAGGAGGTCCGCTTGGACGCTCGGCTGAGAGAGTCGGGGCGGCTGAGAGAGTCGGGGCGGCTGAGAGAGTCGGGGGCAGTCGTGGTTCCACTGCTGCGCGGCTCAGGGAAGAAATAGGAGACTGTTCCAATCCTGGAGTTTGGTAGACTAAAAACCTGTCTTTCCTTGCGGGGAGGTGAACGTTTTTGGACCCCCATCCACATGAAAGTCATGAACAGATGAGCAGCACTCAGCTGTGGCAAAGGGGGTGTTGATGTTTGGTGGATCAGTGGGAAAGGATGGTGAAAACCACTGATGCTGTTCCTTTTTGGTTGCTGACGAATGAATGATGCAATTGCCTTCCCATGATTTTTGGCATCATCTCAATCTACTCATCCCGGTTCACAAGGGGTCAACACATCAACTCACCATCCTTCAGTTGTTGGATTTGGTTCTCGTTGGCTGAGCCTAGTTACTATATGTTCCTATAGTTGGTCTGATCTTGAGCTCAATCTCTCAACAAGAATTCATCCCATGTCTGACATCCTGGCCAAACTGCCATCTGGTCAGCAAAGCCTGTATCCTCAACCGCTCGACTTGACACACACCGTGTAAACCGTCGAGCTTGCTGCCTATACCGTCGTCGATCGTTCCACCGCTTCGGTGGAACCGTCGGAGTGGACCTCGGGTCGGAGGACCTGGCTGATCGGCCCGGGAGCCCATCGACCCTTCAGTTACGGCTGCCTCAAAAGGCGTAGAGCAACGAGGGTTCCCAAAAGCAGTCGAAATGGGGCTCGGGTCATGTCCCATTGGATCTTCACCCGCGGTTGACTCAAAACCCATTGATTAATGAGAGAAGAGGTTCATCCCTTTGATGGATGGATTGATCGATCGATCGATTGATCAATCTGGTTTTGTACTGTAAAACAGCTGGTTGTTCGGTCTTGTTCGGGTATTGAAGTCAATGGTGGGCCGGCGCGGCCACGAGTCCCCGGGGCGATCCTAGGAACAGCTCGAATTGGCGCCCAGCTTGGTCCAGAGCTTGCATGGCCGACGGCTCGTGCTGCGACTGGTGCCATGGACCGGGCACACCGAGGACGTGGAGGTCGCGGAGAATGGACGACTGCTGGGTGCTGCTGGGGCTTGTCGAGGTTCCGAGGGTGTTCTATGGCACCATATATATGGGACTGGACCATGGGTGTGTATTTAAGACAGGGAGACACTCCCCCAAGAAAAGAAACTGGAAGGAAACGATGGGAAATCCAATGGAAAGACGTATATAGACCTTTCCTTTCCAAACCCAATTGGTGACCGCGGGTCGATGTAAACCCTTAAAACACCCACCGCGGGACCCGGGGGACCTGGACGACCCTTCGACAGCCAAGCAAAGAAGATCCTGCCCCCCCGGACTCAGTAGCAAGCTGACCTGACCGAGCAAGTCCAGGAACTGACCTAGGTCCTAGAGCTGTTCATATATACCTTATAAGTATATCATGTGAACGGAAGTATGACCCACTCCAAGTAGTTCATGTTCGGTCAGGAGTTCCCAGTTCGTCTGTAGGCTTGCCAGCGTTAACGCCTGGTCCGCACCCCCCAAGCGTGCCGCCCCGGTCCGCATCGAAGCTGCTCGATGCGGATCCCCCCGGTGACCCCGTCGTGTCGTTTGGGCGACGACCGAAGGTGCCATGGTGAAAAGTGGCATGTGGGTGACGCAGATTTTGGGGTGCTGGAGGGTGACCTGGTGAGGCGGTATAGGTGTTTGGTGACCTGACAAGGTTGAATGTTCGGAGAACTAACTCCGTTGTGAGGCCCAGACCCAGAAGCCGTCTTCACCCAGCCTTGAGTCTTCCCAAAAGGTTTCTGCTAGAATTCCTGCTTACATCTTAGGAAGATATAAGTCTTGCAATCTAAGGATTTGGCGTGCTCTTCTGCCTCCCAGCTACAGCTCTTGGCTTCCCATCAAGCTGACTGCCGGCCACAAAGATGTCAGTTGGTGCCAGTGGCCTCCGGCAAAAGGAGCTTGGAGACCGACCGTGGCCCGGTTGATTCCTTTCCCTGAGAGTCCTGGTTGCTCCTCCTTTTACTCTGGCCTGCTAGTGGATTATGACCAGAAGGTGGGGTAAAATGAGTCAAAACGGAAGTTCTGGGAAAGGTTACCCTCCCTGGAATCCTGAAATGAGCGGATAGATGGCATGGTCCCTTTCCTGGAACCGCTTTTCTTCCTCTACGAACGTGGTGAACTCCTTCCACTGTCCGGTCCAGCGCAACACACCGGTGAGCCAGCGGTGCGTCGGAGGACCTTGGCCCCACTGGCCCCACTGATGTGATTCGCGTGTGTCCCATGACCTGGTTTTGAGTCAATCAAAGAGGCCTTCACTCTGTAATTGAGGAGGGCCTGCAACCAGGCCCCATCATCCACGTCCGTTCCGCCCCGAACCTCGGAACTGGCTGGCGTCCGTTGACGTCGTGCCACCGGAACTGGCAGGTACCGGTGCAATTCCTCTGTTGGCCGCCGCAGGGCCACATGAAGAGCCAGAGCCTTGGACTGGCGCTCTTCGGTCGGACGACTGTGGGTGACCGGTGGGGGACCCTTAAGGGCAGCGAGGTGGGGAGCTTGAGAGGTCCTTTTTCGTTCGAAGCGTTTGGAGCACATGGGCTCAGTCGGACCAGGCCAACCTGGAAGGAAAAACGAAAGACAGGCCAGGACAGGTCGATCATGAAAACGGGAGCAGTACATACTTGGTCCGACCGGAACTGGTAGGGGTGAGTTTATAGATGTTTACTGTATATATATGTGGACAGGGTTCCAACTTGGTTTGGATTGGGGTTTATGTATTCCTTGCAAACATAGACACACACACACATTTCTTTCCTGTTTATACTCAATGTGTTTCTTTC